AATGAATACACTACATATCTCTTAATGAGAATAAAGCGTATTAATCTAAAAGTTTTAATAGTAATTAGAATATATATATATATATATATATATATACGCGTAAAGCGACTTAGGTACGTAAACGTATCATGCACGAGGTATAGATGTGTTTTGTGGGCGGGCGTGGCGGGGGGAACGTTATACACGAGGCATATATGGCGGCAGCAGCGTCGGCTGTAGGAATATATAATCTTCGCATAATATCGCGGCACTTTCGCTGGCGTCAACGGCGCGATGTCCGGCGTGATCCTCGGGCGTCAAAAGGTTAGCAGCGTTGATGGCGACGGTGCGCGGGTACGGATCAGTTCGTCGACATTGTCACTTTGACAACAGGAGAGAAGACTACGGTGTCATTTGCGGCGGGTTGGACTTTGCACCGCGACGTGTAACGCGCGGTGTTGGTCAGTCAAATACTCATAGTAGGGCGACGGCTGATAAAGGTGACACGAGTCGTGGGGCATCGTGTATAACGAAGCGACGCGGGGCCGTGTCAGTCAAAATAAAAATTTATTTATATATATATATATAATTGATGACACGCGCGCGTCTACGGGTCGGAAAATATTATTGTCGACGATTGGTGAGCGGGGTGGGGTGAATGAGTTACGACAGTCTAGTCTCAAGGCCATAGACGACGGGGTACAGGAGTATAATAACACGTGGCGGGTGGAGATTTACAAACAAACACACAACACACAACTTACAAGTGAAACTAATATAAGCGTGTTAATAGAGTCATATCTTATTCAATGATGGCAACATATTTAACTTATCTTTTAGCTTCGATGGGAAACTGAGATGGTATTAATTTTAAAATGATGTGTTTTTTTTTTGTGTCTGTTATCACTCATACTCAGCTCCCAGTAGACCAATTTTGATGAACAATACATCAAAAGATAACTAATCATATCTATTTAAAGACATTTATCTCAAAAATTGAAAAAAATTCCATCATTCTCCGTAAATTAAAAATTTAAAAATCATTAATTTTTGACATTTTTCAATTTTTTTTCATAAAATTACCATAACTTTTTGGTAAATGGATGAATAAATTTTTTTTTCAGATACATTAGGTATTTACCTGTTGCTTGGTATAATTTTTTGAAAATCTGACCTTTTTATTTGTCCACAAGGGGTATTCAAAATTATATATTTCTATAAAAAATTAACTTTTCAACGTAACTTTTCTAAATGTTCAAGAAATACTGACATTTTTATATATTTTTTAAATTAAAACTTAAGTCATGCATTTTAATAAGAAAAAAAAATTTCGAACTTAAGATTCTATCTACGATGGAAATGACAACCGTGTTAAAAAATATATTATTTTTGTGTTATAATTTTCAGTTTTGTATTTTATTTTAAAATACCTTACAAAGGTTTTTCTGTTAAAAAAAGTTTCTAATTGAAGATATTACCTACAAAAATTCCATTTTATCAATAAAAATGTTACTTGATCCATATTTTTTTATATATACAATTAAAATAATTTATTTTTAATGTTTTTAAAGTATTTATTGTCGAATTTGATTTAATATGATAATAGATTTCAACCTCAAAATTAAATAATTTTACTTTATAATTTATTAATTTTGTAACTCTATTTGTGTGTGCTATAATCAGTATTAGTATTCTAAATTTGTTGGTAACATCATGTTGCTGTATAAATCATTTCTAAAAAAAATGGTTTTCACTTTCTTCTAAATTTAATAATGGATAGTTATAATATTAAAAATTAGAAGTGATAGAAAAAGTCTAATTTTTTGAAGATTTACCTTATTTACGGGAAACGAAGGAATTTTTTTCAATTTTTAAGGGTAATATCTTCAACTAAATACGAATTGTAATCATTTGACGTATCGTTGAATATTTTAAAACAGATATTTTAAAACAAAATAAAATAAAATACAACTCCCAGAATTTTACACACAAAAATAGCATATTTTTGAATACGGTAGCCATTTTCACCAAGAAAAAAATGTATATTTCGAATTTTTTTTTTTTTTTCATAGTAAAGTATATAATATAAGCTTAAATTTATGATTAAATAAAACTATGAATATTTCTGGAACATTTTCAAAAGTTAAGTTGAAATAGTTAATTTTTTTAAAAAAGTTGCTATTTAAAATCCCCTCTATGAGTAGAATAAGTGTTGATTTTCAAAAAAAATGATATCAAATGAAAAAAAATTACCTAAAGTTTCAATATAAAAAAATATTATTTTGTTTTTGTTAATATTTCAATAAATTGTGTTAGTTTTAAATACAAAAACCATCACGATAGGAGCTGATTTTTTTTGCAAATATTACATTTTTTGTTTAATTTCGGTTGCAATTTACTCATAGACTATAAGGTTGTAATTTTTTTAAAGGTTTCCCCAATTACGGGGAACGGAGGAATTTTTTTCAATTTTTAAGGGTAATGTCTTCGACTAGATACGATTTGTGATCTTTTGACGTATCGTTGAAAGAAATCCGTTCGGTGAGAGCTGAGAAAAAGTGGTAACAGACACAAAAAAAAAAAACATCATAGTAAAACCAATACCTTCTCAGCTTCGCATCGAAGCTAAAAAACAACATGGTAAAATTAATACCTTCTCAGCTTCGCATCGATGCTAAAAGCGGTAGCACAGTGAAGTCGTGGCATATAAATCATTGCCACAAGGTGAGGGTTATAAACTAATTTATTCAGGTAAGTCAAATACAAAGAATGGTGTAGGAATAATTATGGACGATGAAATGAAAAGTAAAGTAGTAAAAGTAGCTAGGAAAAGTGACAGAATTATAGTATTAAAATTAATTTTTAAGGAAAAGTGCTAAATGTAATAAGTGTCTATGACCATGTAGGATGTGCTGAAATAGAAAAGGAAAAAATTCGGAGAGAGATGGATGTGGTGATGCAAGGTAATGAGGGTGCGGTGATAGGTGGAGATATGAATGGACATGTAGGTAATGAGAGGAGAGGATATGAAAGAATACATGGAGGGTATGGTTATAGTGGGAAGAATGAGGCTGGAGAAATAATCCTGGATTTCGTATTAACGTATGATCTTGCTGTGGTTAATACTTATTTTAAAAAAAGGGAAGAACATTATATAACTTATGAGAGTGGGAGTAATAGATCACAGATTGATTATTTTATGTAGAAAAGAAAGAGTGTAAAGCAAGTAAAAGATTGTAAAGTTATACTAGGCGAGAGTATTACTTCACAACATAAACTGATGGTACTGGGGTTGTGGTGTAGTGGGAAGAGACTATACAAAAGCAAAAAGAATATGTAGGAGTAAGACAGAATATATAGAGTACGAGTCTGACAAAGGAAAACACGAGGTAGGTGAAATGAGGAGATCAATGAAAATAAGCGAGTACATGATTGGAGAGATGGAAAGTTTTAAGTATTTAAGATCAGTTGTGCAGAAAAATGGTAGTATTGACGAGGATGTAAGAACACAGGATTATATACGGGTGGGTGAAGTGGAGACAAGCGTTTTGTGTATTATGCGATAAAAGGCTGAAAGGTAAGTTTGAGTGTTAAGTGGTTGAAAAGAGAATAGAACAGAAATTTAGTGAAGCAGAGATGGTTTTGAATGCTTAGATGGATTTGTGGAATGACTAGAAAAGATAAGATACGGAATGAACATAGAAAAGGGAATATAGGTGTAGCGTCAATCGTCGATAATATGAGAGAAAATAGACGTAGATGGTTTGGTCATGTTATGAGGAATGAGGAATCGAAATCTGTAAGAACAGCTATAGAAATGAATGTTGAAGGAAGAAGAGGTAGAGGAAGACCAAAAAAGAGATGGAGGGATGTCATTGAATGCGATATAAGGACGGCTAATGTGAGCGTAGATGATAGGGCTAATCGTTTCAAGTGACCGTTTAGGATAAGGGATGCTGACCTCTAGTAGTTAGGATTAGGGCGAGAAAAAAGAAGACTATATTACAATATTAAACCTTATTTTATTTTGTTTTACAAATTCTGTTTCATCAAAAAATATATGCATCGATGAAAGTTGAACTATGTTACTTATATAGATTATTATTGATTTAGAAAAAGCCTTTTACACAGTTAACTGGATTTGATTGATGAACTCTATAAAAAAAACACGAATAAATTGGAGGGAAGACGAGTAAATTTATTTTTAATTTTTTTATTTTTAAGTTTTGATAGTAGTTTTACGTCTGTCGGTGCTGGTGACCGATTCGAGTACCTTTGGGAATCTCATGAGATGGGGGCTCACACCCCAACCTCTACAAAAAAGAAGTCTAGCCCAAATCTAACTTAATTAAATCCGTCTGCAAGTTTTAGTGATCCAAACCACCTCACGGAAATTATAATAGTAAAGATAAAGCGTGACAATTAAAAATAATTCTATCAGAATAGAGCAGATTCTAAAGATTCCTATATTTGAAATTTATATCACTGGATAATGTCGTTAAAATTTTGAATAAATATATCAATTTCGGAATTGACCTGGTGCTACATTTTAATAGATCTATCTGGAGATTTATTTGCGTAGAACAGTTTAGCCTTATTAAAATACACATATGCTGTATTAAGATACAGTTCAACCGCTGTATCGAATACAGAAATTGAGCAAAAATATCTTTACCATATTTTATTTCATCAGGCGTAACATGTTCGTAATTCAGCTTTATAGATTTCTTATTTTTAATTAAAAAAATAAACAAAGATTTAGTTGTCTATTCAATAGAAATAAAAAAATAATTATTTATGCTATCCATTGTATTTCAAAAAAATAATAATTTTATAAAATATTTCTTAAAGTTATATCTTATAGTTTTAAAATTATTATTATAAATAAATATAATGAAATATCTATAAATATATGTTTTTTAAAGGAAAATTTGAATTACTTTTAAGTACAAATAAGCAGTAACTTATATTTAATCATGTTAAGTACTTCATTTTATTAGTGCATTATTAAAAAAAAAACAATTTTAATGTTTTCATTTATTATTTATTCTACGAGTACACATTTATTACAAATAAAATCATCGCTTTTGTACATTTTAGTATATAACGACGAATCGCAGTAATTCGAATTCGAATTACTACCATCATAGGCTGTCTCCATAATTTTGCCTATGCCTAGAAGATAATAATAATTTATAAATATTAAATAGAAATTTGACATATTATTGTTATTACAACTTGAGTACTATTTTACACAGCAGATTATTAAAACAGAATCTTAGATCGCCTTATTATTTTATGTTGACAATAAATATGAATTAATTAAAAAAATCAACAAAAAACCATTTAAATTAAATTACTTTTTTGAAAATAGTAAATTGAAAAATTACATTTATTTTAAATTAGAAAATATTTTAACAATAACAAAAACATTAATACGCTTTTTTTTAATTATCATTTCTAAATAAAAAACGCTTTAGACAATTAGACATAAATAAATTAAGCGTTTTTTTTTTTTTGTAAAAAAAAGTCTACTTAGAATTTGAATTTTAATATGATTAATAAAATGACTTGAAAAACATTTAAATACCAAAGAAAATATATTCCACAGTTAAAATGTTTGGATGTGATATCGTGAATTCGAATAGTAAAAATTATGTTTAATTTATTAAAAGCAAATATTTGCGTAAATTTTGTTTTTAAGTTTATTAAACAACTTACAATCATAAACAATTTCAAATACATGAATAGTTACAGTATTTAAAAATAATTTAAATTATACTAAAATAAATTAGTCTGAATGCAATTACGGCATTATGCATGTTTGGAACACGAGTGTATAAAAATCTGTAACTACCCTCAACTATCATTCATTTTATTAAATTATACTTATTTTTAATATTAAATAGAAACGCTAACTTGTGGATAACCAGAGACACTGCTCGAAACATTTAAAATATTCTTTATTTAAACATCCATTAGGTTTTAATAAATAAATATCTTATTGGAAGAATTTCTTGTAATTAGTAGGCTTGAGTTTGATATTCGCCTAAACAAAAAACAAACAATATTTAAAACATTTTTCAACAATATGTTACACTGCACTTTCTTCAAAAGTTTTATATAATTAATTTTTATTTAAGAATACATTTTAATTTTTAAGAAGCTGTTTCAATAAATCAATTTTTTTTTAATTAATGAAATGAGTTTTAAAGTTTTACCTCTTAAAATACATTAAAAAAGTTATTAATGACAGTTTTTTTTAATTTCAACAAAAATTTTATTTTGGAAATTTTTTTTTTTAACACAATTGTACAAGATCGGTTTGAATTACAAATATACTCTAGGTCGCATTTTAAGTAATGTTTTTGAACAAGATGCAACAATTTTCGTAAAAATGTTTTTTATAATTAAAAGATTTGTTTAATTTTATTATACCTGATAGTTGTTTATTGAATGGTGATTCATGATTAGTATTATTTTGTGCTTCGTCATAAGTACCAAATTGATCGGCTTCAAATGAAGACACAAAAGCTGGGTCTACGCCCATCTGGTATCTCTGATAAGCAAAGTACGCAGAAGTTCCCTGTAAAACATTATATCATATACACTCAATCGTTAGCGATTTTAATAAATTAGAGAAAATAAAATAAAATATGATATATTAGCACTAACCCATACGAAAATAGCGAATAATGTAAAATAAATAGCAGCAGAAGGGTTGGCAGTGCTTATTGAATCAGAAAAATCGGGTGTGTTGCTCCAAGCGTTGGATAAGTAACAGAACAGCAAAAAATTCCAAAATGCCCAGAGACCTAAAAATTAAACCATTTATATTGATTTATAACAATAACTTTAACAATCGGATTAAAATAATTTTTTTACTAAAATGTTATCATTTACTTGAGAATCCAAGGTCAAGAAGAACATAGTGCTTGCGACTCTTTACTGATGGTACATTTTCAAAGTAATACTCGCCTCCAACAAACACGGCAGCTACAATAACTGAAGTAAACCCAACAAAACCTCCTATATGACAGTTGAAACGCTTCATTTTAAACATGCATACTTCTTCTTTGGTGTTTGGGTCAATCGTCCAAGAGCCCGAAGAAGCACAGAAATAAACAATCAATCCAAATAGCTAGATAATAAAATGAGCCAAAACGTGTTTTTATTTAAATACATTTTAGGATGTGATAAAACAACAATTAAATTTTTAAAAATTAAGAAAAGTATATAGTAATGTGAATAAAACAAAAAATGGTTCAAAATAGAAAAGTGCTAGAAACATTATTCAACACTTAATAAATGCACATTATGTTCTTATATACTTTGTCCTAAGTAGGTAAGTTTAAATTCTTAATGAAACATACAGTCTTTACGTATATGTACTACTTATTTATTAATAAATATTTAATTTGCACTAACTACATTGTTAATTACAGATATAAAATAAAGAAATATGAATGTTAAATCTTTTCTCTCTTGTAGAAGTCTTTGATTATTTTCGAGCATAAATATAACCAAAAGCTTAAAATTTTAAAACGGAAAATTAACGACAAATTTCATATTAAATTTATAGTTTTTAATATCAATCTATTAATGTATTTGTTAATAATAAAAACAGAAATTAAATATATTAAATGTTGTTTAAGTTTGGCATTGAAATTTAAAAAAAATAAGGGAGCTCAGTCACCTAAATCCTATTCTTACAAACTAAATTTCCAGATTAGTTTAAACTTGTATATTTATGAATAATTTGGAAAGGATAATAATTCTATTATCTCTGATAAAATGTTTGTTCAATGTAAATCAATGGTATAGTGTTATAATTTTTTATCAAAAATTACAATTAAAAAATAACAATTGCAATTTGTAATAAAAAAATGTTCACTGATCTAACCTTTTTGGATTATAAATAAAAATTCATTTCAAACTAGAAATGTTGATTTTTCTAAAAAATTATTTTTAGTATTTTTTACAAATTGCTCATAATACAATAGAAAATTTAAAACTTAAAGTATTAGTTTTATAGTAAAAATAGAAGTACCTCAAAAATTTAAATTACATTTGTAGGTTTTAGAAGACAATTTTGTATTACTTATCAAGTTCGAAGAAAATAAAAAAAAAATAAATCTGTCAAATACATTAAAATATTAAAATAATAATCTCTTTGCTTACCAAAGACAATAATCTAACGAACACATGAGGTTTGCGGACAAAATTTTGTACATCGAACGCTCCACCGACTTTACCAGCTCCATAAGCTTGTGGACCAGTGTCCATTTTAAATATTTCAATTGTAATCTAAACGATTACTTAGTTAAGAGACTAAGCCTAGTAATATAGTGTTTTATAATAAATAACGAAAAAGACCAAAAGCTGTTTGTTATTTATTCAACTAACATTATCAATGGTGGTAAAACTCGGCCGAGATAACACAAGCGCATTGATTTTTTACCCTATCCGCCTTTTTGGTCAATTAGTTAGTTGTCTAACGATTGGAGGGTGGCCTTTTCAAAGCTATACTACTGCTGCCACCAGAGTGTGTCGTTGTGAAAACTTGCAGATGCCAGAAACATAATACTATATACCTTTTTATTTTGTTCATAATAACAGACATTTAAAAGGCTATGAAGCCTATAGATGAAACTGACTTTCTTAATTTTTAATTGTATAAGTAAATTATTTATAAAAATTATGCAATATATTGAGAAATTTTTTAAAAATATTATTGTTACATCAAAAAATAAAATTACTTACAATACCTCATAACATTTTGCACCGAACGATTTTAAAACTTGATAAATTGAAAGCTTATAAATAAGCAGAGATAATAAAAATGTAACGTAACAAAGATTAAATTAAATGTAAAATGATTTAAATATTTGCAAAAAATCACATCAATGTGAAACTGCAGCAAGTAGGATACTAAGGGTTAAAACTCAATAAATAAGGCAACATTCGTGACGCTTAGAATACTAACTTAAAAAGTACGATTGAAAAATGATAAGATCGAAAAATAATTACGAAAAACTGTAGAAATATTTTCATCATTAATACGCTATTTTAAAGGGTCAGATAATTGAAAATTTCAATATAACCTAAGTACATTCATAATGTACAGTATTCTTTTACTAATTATGAAAATTCAGGTATTCTCTAACTTCCTTATTTTGTAGGATCGTTTCTGTGTAATTTGTTGTTGACTTTTAAAATTTATATGGTATATTTAACTTTAATAAGTTAAAGGGTATAAACGACAATTTCGTTTTTTGCAGGAGTTGAAAATTGTTTAGATTACAAAAAAAATTCATCAAAGTTATTTAGAATAATACCTAAAATAAGTTTTTGTTTACATTACTGATATGGTTCTTGGTACATTTAGTTAGTTTAGCTTTTGACTCTGGGAGAGGGTTTTGACTGGGGTTCCTCATAGATGACTCTGAGGTACGATTCATAATCATTATCCTGATGTTAATTTATGAAAAAAACTCAAGATAGGAAATATTTAGCGCTCCTACAAAGAAACAATATTAACGCATTCTTAGTCGATTACAAACGAAAAAAAATGTCAACAAACATTTTAATAATAACTTAGCATTGCTAATGGAAGTGTCACATGCTTTTAGCTGTTTCTAAATACGCCACTGATTTCACTCGATTTACTTAATTAAATGCAATATAATTATACAAGAATTAAATTAATGTAAAATATATAATAATAAATAAACATAATTCAATTGAATGGGATTATTTGAGTTTTGATCATTATCTTAAGGGCGTATTACATACTTAATAGCTGTGAAAAAATACCTATCAAGAAGATATGACTTAAAAATACCTAAATTTTTACAAAATGAGAAGTAGAATTGAAATTTTTTTTTATATTAAATCACTTTAGTATAAAAATTTAAATAAGTCATTATTAAAAGGGCTGTGCGAACTTTTAAAATAAATGACTAAAATAAACGAGTAATCTTTCAAAATTACCCTTATTTATTATTAAAATATTATAATTAAAAACAAAATAAAATTACTTTCTATTTTAATAATTAAATTACACTATAATTACTTTATATGTAGTTTCATTTCTGTAATTTGTACTTCAAGTAAAGTTACTACCCAATATTAAATTTTATTTAATAAACCTGACGGAAAGGTTCTCTACTATAATACATTTTATCTACAACCCATTCAAAAATTCAATTAATTTGTGGGTGCTATGAATATTTCTGTGGGAACTGAAGCCCCCAAAGACCGGTTCGTTCAAATAACGTTTATACTGTTTTCCTAACATATAGACGTTACCAATAATTAATAACGTCTATATGTTAATATATGAAAAATTATTTTTCAAAATAAAGATTATTAATAGTAATCATTTATTGGTAATAATTATTATTATTATAGCTGTTATTATCATGTCTAAATGATTTCAACTAGTTTTTCAAAATTCTAATTATTCCCACATAATACTCTACTTTTTTTAATTGTAATAGATTGATTATTCATTTGCTAATAAACGACAAGGTCGTTAACGTTCAAAAGGTTTGTTCGATAACTTTATCAATATCAATTGAACTTGATATTGTTATCTCTAAAAATATAGAGTCTTTGAATATTATAAAATTAATCTATGTAAAATGTTTCTTAATCTGCTTCTTGTACTTTATATATAAATAAGTGGTAAATTTTACTGTGTCAATTGTATTAATTATATTGAAAATCGTGTAATTTATATGAAAAAATAATTGGTTTATAATTCTTTATTAATTTATAACAAATATTCCATCACCATCGTCATGGACATAGCTACATCGACAGACATTATGATAGTCAGCGGAAATTCTCACTTAGAATTAGCTAATTTAGTGGCTCGGTAACTTATTATGTGATTATATTATCATAATAGTTCTTTTTCATGAAATTTGTTTTTTAGACGTCTTGGTGTAAAGCCAGCAAGATGTGCGGTTTCATACACAACTAATAGAGAGACTTCAGTACAGATAAGCGATTCTGTTCGGGGTAAAGATATCTACATTGTTCAAACTGGATCTAAGTATGTAATTTACGAAATAATTCTTAGATGTAATTATCATTGGTATATTTATTAAATGAAATGCTAAAAAACCTAACATTCTAAAATTTAATTCCTAATGTAAATATTTAAAAAAGTGGTTCTCGGCCATTTAATATCTGACAACCATCTATAAATTTTCAACAGTCTAAAAAGCTTTTTTATCTTATCAAATATGTATGCATTAAATTTTTCTTCAGGAAGCACAATTTAAAAAGATATTTTGTTTATTAAATAAAGTGAAAACTTAAGATAAATAATTATTCCAATTTTATTTTATCTAGAAAAATTTCTTTGTAAATTATTTATGAGTTTAATTTATGAAATATAAATATCTAAAGAAAACATACCGTAAATACTTGGCTTTATGATAGTATTGTTGAATAAAAATATTTTGAATACATTATATATTTACCTATCTTTGGTATATGTTTTGAAAATCTGTTTTGGAATTTAAAATGATATATTTCTACAAAAAATTAACTTTCTTAATGTAACTTTTGAAAATATTCCAGAAATACTGTCATTTATATATATATTTTTAATTATAGCTTATGTAATATACTTTAATAAGAAAAAAAAATTCAAACTTTAAATTGTCTTCATAATGAAAATGGCTACCATATTTACAAATATGCTATTTTTGTGTTAGAATTCTTGGTTTTGTATTTTCTTTTATTTTAAAATACCTTTCAAAGGGAGTACACTGATTTTTTTAATACAAGGTGATTGACTAATTATGTCTCACAATTTTTCTTTAAAAATATTAGTGTTATAATATATGTAATTATTTTATTTGTTATAAATCTTTGTTGATCTACTTGGCAAGAAAAATAAAGATTCCATCTTCATCCCTCAACCCTTAAATCAATACCAACTTTAGTTTTTCAAATAGCAACCCATTTTTTTTTATTAATTTTGTTAATCATAAAAAAAAATCAATTTTAATAAATTCTAAACGAGATGTCACTATTTAAAGTTCAGGGGATTTAACAAATAAAACAGTAGTCGGGCAAATACACTAACATTAATATTTAGTGTACCGATAAGAACTATTGGTGTATTGTTCTCGGTTATTGGCTTACAACCCGTATAATTTGCACATATTTTATAAATCAACTTGAGTAATACTCATGTCCCCTAAACTTTAATGAATCATAGATCTTTGATAATTGATAAAAGAAAACATTTTTAACTAAATCTAATCTGATTATATAAAAAAAAAATAGGGTTACCATTTGAAAACTGAAATTTGATATTGATTTAAACCATAGGAATGATCATAAAACTGTAATTTTACTCACTGAGCAGCCCAAAATAAAAACATAATATTTCATAACATAAAAAAAAAGATAACTTATATTTTTAGAGAGACTTTGTGAGGCATTGTTAATCAATCACCCTGTATTATATAAGTCTAATTGACATAGAATATAAAGTTTATCTTATTAAACATTTTTTTCCTTCTTTTAAGTTCAGAAAAATAACTTTTAAACTAACTTAAATTGCCATTTTTATCTACCAACAAATGTTATGCATGATTGCTGTCTTACATGTTTGAGGTACGAAGTTCAAATTCTGGTTGTTGAAATAGCTTCTTTTTATTTTTTTCTTAATTCTTTTTGAGTTAGAAAAAAATTCGAAATTTGTTTGATCTACTTAGATTAATTTTTATCAATGAATATCAATGACTCCATCACTGTAGTCTCCCCCCGTGAGAATAGATTTCTTATTTATTCTAAAATTATTTTACTATGTAGTTTTTTTTTTGTGGCATTATTTATTTTCTCAGCTCTCACTTTTTTCAATGATAAATCAAATGATTACAATTCATATCTAGTTGAAGATTTTACTCCCAAAAATTCTATTTTATAAATTAAAAAGTTACAAGGTCCACATTCTCAAATCATTATAAAATCATTAATTTTTAATGTTTTTAAAGTATTTATTGTCGAATTAGGTTTAATATGATAATAGGTTTCAACTACAAAATTAAATAATTTTACTTTGTAATTTATTAATTTCTTAACTCTATTTGTATGTGCTACAACCAGTTTATAGTATTCCAAATTTGTTGGTAACATATTACTGTATAAATAATTTCTAAAAAAAATTATTTTTATTTTTATCTAAATTTAATAATAGATAATAATAATATTAAAAATTAGAAGTGATAGTAAAAATCTCATTACATATTTAAAAACAGTGCGAAAAGGTGATGTAGAAAAATATATTTTTGATTATGATGAAAGTTCCTTGTAGACCAGTGTATTTATTCAGAAGTAACAAAAAATGTTTTGTCATAAAGAATTGCATCAAGCCCTTCAAAGTTTTATACACGTTTGTCATAGAAGTAACAAAATACGTATACTAATTTATCATTTTTTATTATTTCTCTATAAAAATTACAATAATAAATTATTAAATATCAATTTCTTATTAAATTTAATTGCTATTATGGATAGTATAAATTAGTGTAATCAGAATTTAATTATGGAAATACGCGTTAATGTTGCTAATTAACCACTAATTTCTTAGAATTAAACACTATCTACAGATTTGCATAAAACCTTTTCTTGTGACAGTAATTTTAATTATTGCCAAAAATTATCTAGACTTGTCCTAACTATGCCATATCTATAATGTGCCACGACCCCATTCTGCTACCTTTTGTATATATTTTTATAACTTTTTCAAATCTCCTTAAAAAAAAAATAAATAAAAATTGTTGACTATTTTATTCAAAGATTATCAATAAGATATATTTTATTATAATAATTATTTCTGAACTATTAGTACTGAATTTTAACTTTTTAAATTAAGAAAAACTTCATGATATTTTTTCAGAGATGTAAATAATAATATAATGGAACTCTTAATCATGGCATATGCATGCAAAACTTCTTCTGCTAAAAGCATTGTTGGTGTTATTCCTTATCTTCCATATAGCAAACAGTGTAAAAAACATTTAATTATAAGTATTTAATAAGTTATTTTAATTTAATTATATATTGTTTTTTGTTAGGCAAAATGCGTAAACGAGGTTCTATTGTATCAAAACTATTAGCTAAAATGTTATGTTCTTCTGGATTAACTCATGTAATAACTATGGATCTTCACCAAAAAGAAATTCAAGGATTTTTTGAGTGTCCTGTTGATAATTTAAGAGCATCACCATTTCTTTTGCAATATATTCAAGAATGTGTAAGTTCTTTTTGACAATTAAACTAAGATTTATATAATATTTGTATATTAAATATTATTTAATATACAAAATATAAGAATACGGAAGTAAAGAACTATTTTTATTAAAAACTTTTATAAGTAACTATTAACTCAATAATATTATTAAAATTTATTGTGTTTTATGTAATGTCTATAATTGCTTTATACACCTTCCACAAGAACTTTTTTACACTACACGGGTGTTAGCTTTACGTAATAAGTAATAATAAACAGTTACTAAGTTTAGCTCTTTAAAATCATAGTATTATTAATGAATCTCTCATTGTATACCTCTAGTATTATGGTAAAATTATTTATTTTTATATTTTAGTACTTAATCTCTAAATTTTAATGTCGAAAATAAATCTAAATTATACAAACTTTCAAGTGAATTTCAATTTTCTAAATCTTTTAATTATTATTACAGCTCTATAATAAACTATGATTTTGTAGATAAAAATGTTTTTAAGATAATTATTTTGAATTTAATTATTTTATGAAATCTAAATTAATGTATACACGTTTATGAAGAAAAAAAAGTTCATTTATTTCAAATTAACTTTTTAATTATAGTGTCTTTCACATTATGATTATATAGATTCCAGATTATCGTAACGCAGTAATAGTTGCTAGGAATCCAGGTTCAGCTAAAAAAGCAACATCTTATGCTGAACGTTTGCGTTTAGGAATTGCAGTTATTCACGGTGAACAAAAAGAATCTGATTCTGATATGGTTGATGGTAGAAACTCACCACCCCCTTCTACTTCTCGTTCTAGAACAATGGATGTTAGTGTTGGAGTACCGCAACATCCTGCTAAAGAAAAACCTCCTATAAATGTTGTTGGTGATGTTGGTGGTCGCATAGCTATTATGGTGGTTAGTTTCATTTTTTTTACACAATATCCATATTATTTTATCCTTATTATTTAAAAAAAAATATAATCAGGATAGAATTCAAAAATGACATTTTAATATACATGATATATATTTAGTTATTTATATTTGTCACTGAGTACAAATATTTTATTTTTCATCTTCTACAAACTATCAAAAAGTAACTTGTGATTTTTCTCATGCAAACTTAATTTAATTTTTATTTCAATAAATATACTAAATTTATAATTTACTGAATATTTTGTTTTAGGATGATATGGTAGATGATGTTGCATCATTTGTTGCTGCAGCTGAAGTGTTAAAAGAACGTGGTGCATACAAAATATATGTTATGGCTACTCATGGTCTTTTATCATCAGATGCACCTAGACTTATTGAAACTTCTCCTATCGATGAAGTAGGTTATTGTTATTCACTATAACATCATTTATTAACTTATGTTTTCTATTTATAGGTGGTTGTCACAAACACGATTCCTCATGAAATTCAAAAAATGCAATGTCATAAAATAAAAACTGTAGATATTAGTATTTTACTGTCTGAAGCAATTCGTAGAATTCATAATAAAGAATCTATGTCATATTTATTTAAGAATGTAACATTAGAAGATTAATAAATAAATAAAAATAATAAATTGTTATTATATCATTAAATCATGCATGAATTAGCTTTTATTAAAATATAAAATTACTTAATATAAGAAAAAAAAAAATCAAACAACATAATTGGTTGTAATTTTAATTTTTTTGTTATCCTGAAATATGTCAGAATCACTATGAAATAAAAAAATATTTTTCACTTATTAAAAAAAAAAGATCATTTGTTTATAAGTTACCCATTTTTTCTGTTAAGCTTAATTTAGAGTAAGATTATATAGGTCATTAAAAATGATAATTGAATGGAAGACAAATGATACTCATAAGTAGTATTTAAACAGTATCTAACTTCATATATACTGATATACTCCTGAATAAGTTTGAAACATTAGTTATCAATGGCGTATTTAGTGAGGGTTGGGCTAAAATAGGCAATCGCACGAGTGACATGTTTAAGGGCATTAGATTTTTACATAGCAATGTTTGATTTTTTTTTTTTTTTTTTAGCCATGCATAAACATTTTTTTTATAACTTTGTTTTACTTGCTTATCAATATTCTTTGATTAGCATTGGTCGCCAAATTTCTAAGTAAGTCTCTGTTAGACACAAAAAATTAATTTCTTAGTTTAATACTAAAGTAGTTGTGCCGATCATCTACAATATTTATAACAGATGTTATAGCAGTTTTAAAGGGTGGTTGAGTACCGGGACATTATATAATTCCCTTCCTCATTATAAAATCTGGGTGTTACTGCTGTAAATTTTAATGGGTGGCAAAACACGAGTTAGTAGGTTCATGACACAAATGGTTCAAATATTTTGTAATTTCTATTGTCAAATTAATTGTTTAATACTTAGGCACCATTATAATTATGTGGATAAATTTATTTATTTACTAGTAGTCGTGAAAATGTTTACCTTAGTTTAATATACTTCTTTACGCGCTAGTAATTATAAGTGTTCTGAACTGGTGCTGTATTTAAAATTCTGGAATAGTGACATAGCCAGATGACCATAAAGATCATGACCTTGATGTCACAACATTTTTTTTTCAAATGAAGTTATTATCAAAAAAATGGTTAGTAGCAGATTCTTTTTATTTTATATAGACAGTATATCTTTCAAGATATGCTGTCTATCCAACTGTTATGCAGTACAAAAAAAATAATTTTTAATAAATAAAACACCGCATTATCAGAATTCAAAAATACATTCAATTTCTCAGATCGTTTTTTTTTTTTTGCTAGAATCAGGTTATAATAGTATTCTATAAGTTCATTAGACTATAACATTGTATCTTTTAATAAGGACGATAATAAACCCAATAGATCTTTTGTTTTTGGTTGTATTGTAATATTTAATTGAAACAAGTGATGTATTGGTAAATATAGTAGCACAGCCAATATTTATTATTAGAGATTTCTTCAAATCATAACCTATGTTATAACTTAAAAAAAAAAATTCTGAAGCTTAAAAGCAATTACTCATTTTTGGGGTAATAAACTTCCAATCCTTCGTACTCCATTAGTGGATACCTAAATAGCAGAATGTACGTATAGGCGTAATTAGGTATGTTAGAGGAATCTTAACTCTGTCATCTGACGAATTAACACCTAAAATTTAGAAAATTATGTATCATACTACATTAAAGTATTTTTTAGAGAGGGGTAAAAATAATTAGCATGTACAAAATAGTTTTTCTAAATACGCCCTTAGATAAACGGGTATAATACCCGATGATAGTACACTGGATATAATCTAACCAGGTAAAAATGTTTATGCAAACTTAAAAAGAAAAATGTGTTTTAAAGAGAGTTCAAAGTAGGCTGTCGTATTATATAATGAATTTCAGATAATATACATTGTTTTGGGCTCATTATCAAATGACGATAAAAAAATATTTAACATTGATTATTTTTATTAAATTACGTTTTTTAATCGTCAGTGACACCTGGTATTATTATTATACTAATTAATAATACCTTTGTTCATTGATTTCATCTTAAACTCAAGTCTGGAATATGTTTTAAGGAAAATGAAGTTTACGAATTTCACCAAAAAATTTTTCCACTTTAAGATGTAACGAGTAAAAAAAGATATTTAAATTTTCCGCCTAGAATAAAATAATTTTTAGGAATCATTGCCAACTAAAAATTTTACTGTTTTATGAGAGGTTGTATTATCTCACAAAAAACTTTACCTTTTTCCACTATTAACCTCTACAAAAGGACAACTTGAGAAGCTTTTCGATTGAAATCATTTTTAATAAATTCTAAATGAGATATCACTATTAAAAGTTCAGGGGTTTTAACAAATAATACAGTAGTCGGGTAGATACAGCAACATTAATACTTAGTATACCGATAAGAACTATCGGTATATTCTTCTCGGTTATTGGTTTAGAACCCGTATAATTTGCACGTACTTTATAAATCAACGTGAGTAATACTTACATCCCCTAAATTTAAATGAATCATAGCTGATAAAATAAAACATTTTAAAGTAAAAATTTTTTAGATTAAATTTTTTCCACTTTTAACCTTCATAAAAGGATAACTTGAGAAGCTTTTCAATTGAAAATCATAAATTTTGAGGTAATTCTTGTAATGTTTACTCCAGAACAAAAGAAATCTTATTCCGAGATAAATATACAATTATATGTAATACTTACTACATAATATGCAGTTTATGTTCTTAAATACCACAAATTTATGAGGCAGTACAAAGGATCATGTATAGACCAAGATATTATTAGTTCTAGAATATAGATGAGCAATTCAAACAACTAGATATTTCAATCATTAATATGATAAGACATCTTAGTGAAGTAAAATATCTCAATGAACTATTTGAGATACCAGGTCGGGATATTCTTTCGAGAAATATGACATTCACAAAGTTGCCAGCCTGTAAAATGGTTTTTACGTACCGGAACGTGCGCAAGCGCGTACCCGCACCGGTTCGTTACCATCGTGTGTATGAACGAGAACATTATAACACGCTTTGTATATATATATGGAATTGTGTATATAGATATATAATGTATAGGTATTTCAAGTATAGTTAACCGCCGTCTTATACCCGTGTACTTGTGTCGAATACTGGCAGCGATACGTCATCGCCCGTTGGTAATGTTTGTCGGCGTGTGTTGCAGCTCGTCATCCCACTGCGAGCTAATAGCTTAGCTTAGTACTTACGGGTTCAAGAAGTAAAAACATTAAAGCAACCATATCTTAGGTTTAAAACATTCTGTATTTTCATTCAGTTCGCTGCAGTTACGTTGTGCGGACACGGAGTACGTGAGAATTTTAATATAAATTAAAGTTTTCATGTATTTATTAGTTGCTCACTGCCCAAATTCGTTTGTGGGCAGAACAGATGCATAAGGACCCGGTTGCTGTCTTTCTTTCGCGGGTTTATGAAACTACTTTTTTTCTTCATCTTTAATTTATCAATAAAAAAATTAATTTATTTAAAAAAAAGTTATTAATCGACGCGGTGTTCGCGAAGTTCACTAGTTTATAAATTGTGACATCAAAACATCAACCATGGAGATGGATTCAGATAGATCGGATCCCTTTATGAAATATTTGGCTGTTGATCGAAATAAGCTTAACGATCAGCCCACTCAAGCAGAATGGACCCAAAAACGGTTAGTTTGGGTGCCCCACGAAAATCAAGGCTTTGTGGCTGCTGGTATTAAAGGAGAACGAGGAGATGAAGTAGAAGTTGAAATAACAGAGACTGGCAAGCGAATACTGGTTGATAAAGATGTCATACAAAAAATGAATCCACCCAAATTTGACAAAAGTGAAGATATGGCGGAGTTAACTTGCCTAAATGAAGCTTGTGTACTTCACAATATTAAAGACCGATATTACTCTGGATTAATTTATGTGAGTTGATACTCTTTATAAAACTTCTATAAAACTCGTTATGATGTATGAATGTAGAGGGTGGTTCAAAGCTTGATTAACTATAGGATGTATTCCTCGACTGGTTTTATTTTAGAAATATAGTAAAGTAGTTTTATTTTTTAATTAAAAGGTCCAGTGCAATAACTGGCTATCTCCATTATTAAAAATTCGCTAGACACAAAAAGTTAAATGATTTAAGTGCTAAACTCTGCATATCAAGCATCTATATTTGTTCAATATTATTTTTTTTTAGTTAATATGTTTAGTGATCATGTCAAACTATTAAACAATTAACTCTCTATCAGAAATTATAAAACCATGAATATAAAAAAAAAGAAATGAAAATAACTGGTTATTGTACTAGACCCTTCAATTTTACAGCAACAGATGTTGGAAATTTATATTTGCAGTTATGCTTGAAATTAAAAACCATTTATTTTAATAAAATGTAATTGGTCTTACCGAAATTCTGTGTATAAAGCATAGTTACTCAATGTTTTATATTATCAATCACTAACACGTTTGTTGTAATATTTTTTTGATAATAATTTTAGGATCTATAGAATATCTATTACATTCTAATACATTTTTATAGTTGAAATTATCTTGCTATAACTTCAAAAAAGATAGTATTAAAGGTTTTATTTTATAAATTACATAACCCTCATTCTCAGTATCTTTACATTTTATTACTATTGGCTTGCAAAGTATTATTCGTTTATATAAATTTAAAGTAATCTTAACTAAATATCTATGTATCTTCATAACTATTATTAATTTCCAAGATATTTAAAATAGTTATTTTCTTATATTCAATTAATAAAATAAATAACATTCTTTACCAAATATTTATTGCTTAATACTTATTGCATCTTATTAAATTTTTAATATTAAATTTAATTTTTTAATATAATATTGAATTTTGTTATGAAAACTATTAAAGCTATACATCATGTACTTTTTTAAACTTTCTAACAGCTGATTATATACAAGATTTTTAGTATAGATGGAACTTGTACATTTTTCCACAGAAAATCTTAAATGTTTACTCCTATATATGTATGTTGATTAATATCTATGAAGATTGTATTCAGTCAAATCAGTTTTTCCATATTGCTAATATTTCCATATTACAATATACAAACAATGAAAACAATAGAAATCTGTTTTCTTAATTAATGGACACCACCTATATTTTCCCTCATATTATACATAGTAAATATTTTGAATTTAAAATGCTTAGTAATTAATTTACACTATTAATTATAAGTAGACCACATACTACAACAGTAAATATTGAATGTTATAATGATACAACTAGTAAACTTTAAAAATTATATAATTTATCATTAAATTAAATAACTATGCTTTAAATAATATCATGCTTTTGCCTGTCATATGTTTGTAATATATGAAGTATCTAGGGTTATCATTGATTATGCAAAACCTATATTTAAGTAAAAAAACATCTTGAGATGCCTTGAAAAGTAATTTTGAGATATGCTCTTTCCTTTGAAATAATATGATAATAATAATCAGGTATTGTGTCAAATTAAAAAAAAGGCGTGATTAATATAAACTTGAATTTATTAAATATTATTATAAATTTGTATGTTCAAAAATCTTAAATGTTTTATTATTGCTTTAAATGTTTTTAATTTTTCACAAAAATTTACTTTTTGTTTATTATAAGTAAATAATTAGATTGATGAAAGGTGTATCATAAGAGTTAGATTTATATTTTACCAACAAACTGTTTTAAATGTTTATACATCAAAATGTAAACAACGGTAGTAATTTTTAAATAATAGCTTTGCAGTTGTACCTATTATAGGTACAAATATTAGGATATGTTGATGTAATCTAATTTTAAATAAACAATAATTTTTAGTTATTGTAAATTATACAGGTTATTTATATAAAATAAAATCCTTAGAACATTTTGTGGACAAAATCTATATATTAAAAATTAACTTTTATGCAACATACAGTTTTTATACTAATTTTCCTATTAAATATTCTAAAATTTTCACTACTTAATCACATGTACATGTATTCATATATGGTTCGTTTATATGTATTTTCGTAATTAATAATTTACATCCGGATTAAAACTTGTATTTTTCTCGTATATCTACGTATATATCCGTATCTATTTACTTATTAAGCACTTAGGAATGCAGACGGGTCATCCTGGGTCAATTCATGTGACATTATCTGGTCTGGTCAACCTGCCCCTCTTCTGTTATAGAAATCACGATTAGTGTAATACATTGAACAGTACATTGTATATTTATTACACCCTTATTTTTAATGCAGTTCATAGCTAAAAAAAATTGTTTCTTATGAAATACAGCGTTTTTTACGTTTTTCATATCATGCCAGTTGGGAAATACGAATAGATAGTTAAAACAGTGAAACTCGTTATTCTTTCACAACGACATTTTGCGTTTGTACCACTGCCTTCGTCAATAAATATATTAAAAAATAATTTATACCCAATTGTCGTTAATAAGTAATTTGTTAATAAACTTCCATTGTGTATGTTGTAGTCGTAATTGCATGCATAAGAAAACTGAATCCGTAATTAATATTATTATGTAAAATCGTACTAATCTGGACCATGAAATCTTAGTATTACTATAAAAAATTAACTATATCCCAGCGAATAATATCTTAACAATTGATTTTATCAATCGCCGTGTGTTTTCCAGTTAAATTCTAATATTATTTATACCATAATAATGTAAAAAAATTTCGCCAGACTATGTTCTAAAGAAAATGACGCACGCAATGTGTATTTGTGGTTACTTGCCGTACTTCGATAAGCCTACAAATACTCATTAGTATTAATATTATGAATATTAACACTCGTTAAATTCAAATGTGTAAGAATAAACTTGGAATTTTTTTTTGAGGACGTACCAGCTTTATCGGTCGCTTGCTTTATTGAATGTCGTGTCAGCACAAACATTAGAACAAAAACATTTTTGTGTCATTCATTGTGTCTATTGCGAATAAATATTTGTGTCGCCTGATTAAGACAATAACATTATGTCAATCATTCAATGGAATAAAATTATTTGCGATAACTTAAAAAAAAAAATTCTTAAATTTGAATGTTGTTAACGTGTTTTACTTTTTAACAATTATTCGTTAGGCCCGTAGCTGTCGATACATTATACTCGTGCCAAATATAATCATAATATATATATTTAAGATATTTACACGTTTGCATGCTTTTTCTATACACACTAGTAATATATTATGTAGGAGTGGCTGCTATCCGAACCGCCATTTCTTCGTGAACCCTCTATATTTCATATGTTGAGTCATTGTTGTAAATGTTAATATTGTGTACACTACAAGTGCACTTCACTAAAGATAAAAAAAAAGGTTAATTCATAGTTTAGTTGGCGTATTGATCATATTTTAAATTTGATTTTGTCTTTAGTGCGTTTAGTTTAATGTCTACTAATAATTAGGTCAAACCTCAATTATAAAATATTGACTATACAAAGTATTACTAACAAATGTGTAATTTTTCGTTACTGATTAGTCATGATCACTATAGAGACAATGATACGTATATTATGTTAGGATCCTGGACATTTAATTATAATATTTTATATTATACTACTACGAAACAGAAGAAATTTCTGTGAATCATTCAATGATTTTGTTCGTAATAATTATTTTTATTTAATGTTATTTCGATGACTGCACTAAAATAATTATTTGAAAAGTTTTATCGGAAATAGTTAAACATTTTGAATATTTTTAGTATTATTAAATATTTTGCTGAGTGGACTACAGTTTCGTTTTCACTTAAATTTTGTTAAGGAAATTGATATGAAAAATATATAATAATAGAAAAAAAATAAACATTCGGTAGTAACTAATTAAAAATAGATTTAAGAATACTATTTATTATAAAAAATAAATAATACATCTCAAACCATCCTATAAAATGTTTTTTTTTGTAAAACTGGTTTTGGGTATTAAATAGTATCTTTGTCGCCCTCATGTAAGATCTTTCTGATGAACTCGAGTAAGGTCGCTTTCATGACGTATAAGTAAAATAGAGGCGTCAAGAATAAATTATTACTATAATTTCTTTTGTATCATCGCTTTTCATTTGGAGGTTTTTTATTTTGTTAATTTTTTATGGGATAGCATAAAAATACAAATTTCTTCTAATGCACATATTATTTATAAGAAGTTCACAAATGGCATATGAGAATATCGAAAGGTTTCTAAATAATATTAATATGTTAACTATGTCACTTAGAAACAAAATAAAAGGTCAGTCAGTATTTTCGTTTAATATGTGTTATCATATAGAAATTTAGGAATGCAAGAAAAATTACGAACAAACATAACGTTTTTAGTAATACTTTTGTAGCTTATATTTTATATAACGCCTTAAGCTAATGTTTGTTGTTAGGTAAATGAAAATAAGTTAATTTGAAGAAAAAAAAAAATCTTTGTAGATTTATTACGTTGTAAATAGTTATATCATTATTATTGATTAAATATAAGTATTTCTCTTACATTATTATAGATGCAATGCGGTTACAGATTATTACTATAAGAAATATTAGAAATGAACATCCTGGTGATTATAAGATGTAGAAAATAAATTCTTACTATTTTTAATAGTTTTAACTATTGCAAAAGTTTTGTTATTTTTTAAATTAATAAAAATTTTACTAAATAAGCAAAATAAATACATTCATATATAGTTACTTACATAATTTCAATGGTAATAAATTATGCAAAAGTCAATAATTTTTCACAATTTCTTAATATTTAGTAATAATGTGTTAAAAAATTTCTTTTTTTCATTTATTTGTATAATATTGATGTAATTATTTTGTTTTTTAGACTTACTCTGGTCTATTTTGTGTCGTTGTGAATCCATACAAGAGATTACCAATTTACACAGAAAATATCATGGAACGATATAAAGGCAACAAACGTCATGAGGTACCACCTCATGTTTTTGCCGTTACAGACACTGCTTACCGGTCAATGTTACAAGGTTATATTTTTTTATTTATTTTAAGAGTTATTTTATCTGACAATATTTTCTCTATATTTTAGATCGAGAAGACCAATCTATATTGTGTACGGGAGAGTCAGGTGCTGGTAAGACCGAAAATACCAAAAAAGTAATTCAGTACTTGGCATATGTAGCTGCTTCTAAGCCGAAAGGAATGATTCAACATGCCGTGAGTATTACTATGTATAACAATATAGTAGCATATACGTAAATCTTTATCACCCGCTGTGTACTAACTGTCATTTAAAAAGATGCTTCATGATAGGTAATTTTAGTAGAACTACCTCGTAACATTCTAGATGAATACAGAATTCTGACTAGACTTTAATTATTTAAATATGCTCATAGAAGTTCTTCGGGGATTCGAATTTTTCCAAATGAGTATTTGGAATATTATTGCCAATTTGTTTGATTCTTTTTTTGGTTAAATTTAGAGGTTTTTTGTATTCTAACTTGTTGCTTTAAAATTTAGTATCTATGTTTCTCGTTTTAATATTAGTACTTTGTATATATGTATCATTCACTACACATATTATAAGATGTAAAGTGGAATTTTTTTTTTGTATTTGTTTTATCACAATATTTTTTCGGTTCTTCTGTACTTGTTGGAAATGCGTTCTTTGTAGAACTACTATTATTAGCTTTGCCTAATTCAATTAGACATAACAATAAATCGTATCATACACGATTACACTAGGGAAAGATTTTAATCAAATTTAATTATCAAAAAGATAGTCAACATGTTACAAATTATTACAGTAAAAAAAAAGTATTTTGCTTGTTTCCCTGTAGGTTTTAAACGAAGGCGTAAAGTTGATTTTTTTACTTGTTAACCACTCCTACGTCTATATTAGGTACTCGGTCGACTATAATTGATAATTATAATTCGCATAGTACTCCATGTTAGTAAGTAAAAAATATTTGCCTTAACAGATCTATTTGAAAGTGTCTGTTGTTTTATTCATCGTGTAAATGTGTAGTGTGCAAAAATTAACGTAAGAGTAACATTTGGTTTACGGAAAGTAAATTTATATAATATGAAAGTACAATTTATGATCTGATAGACTTATTAAAGTTCTAGTATGCTTAAATAAAAAACGACCTTCTCTTTGCAATAGTGATATTTTTGTCCATATTTGTCTCAATGAATTAATTTTCTGTTTCTATTTAAGTGTAGTACATATATTGTTCATTAGTTTTAATTCATAGGGACTATCGACAATTTATTCATAAATAGCTTGCCTCATAAATTAGTTGGCGATAGACGTTACGACAAGTTAAGAGGTCTAAATACGGTCAAATAATTCAATTGATTCATACATATGTATTTTCTTTAAGGTATTTAGCGATATTTTGTCTGGTATACAACAAGTAAGAAATATAGCGGCTTTACAGACAATTAAAAATTATGTCGGTGAAAGTTATTGATATATGAATAGCTCCCCAAACAATGAGAGTAATATTGTTCTTATATTTGTTTATATTACAAAAATATAAATTTTTTACCACCAATCTTAAGCTTCTTGTTAATATGTTTTTGGTTATGATGATTGATTAGAAAATATTAATTCACGATAGATCATTAATCTGTGTACCCTCAGTTACTATATAGGTGGTTTTCGCTGGATGCTTAATTATTTATTTTACTGGTACAATCAATGACCTTACATGCCAAGTATGGTTCTATAGCTTACTTTAAAAACACAAATATTGGTTCTTATAACGGAATTGTTTGTTTTCATTTAATTTTTCTCTCGTTATCTCCTCTAACTGCTAAAACTTCAATAATTAAATTATTTTATAGTGATATATTAAGTAAAAACATTAGATTAAAGGTTATAGTGAAATCCAAGTGTAGAAATAAATCGCGAGTCCCCGTGTGGCGACAAGGATTAGGTTTAAAGTTTTGCTTCCTTATTTGGTACTAAACCCCGATCGGTCCTCTTATGGTAGCGATTTTATTATTTTTCTCTAACTGTGTCACGTGTAAAATAATTATGAAAGACCCCCGTCGTACAGTCACAAAATTCCACACATGGTATCTTTGGCTTTTACTTTTTTATATGAACTCATAAATAGAAAATATTTGTTTTGTTCGCATAATTATATTTTATCTAGAGAACATTGTACATCATGTAACTCTGTCATATATTAATTGTCAATATATTATACCCTGCCCGTATACAAAAAATCACATTAGCATACAGATTATTAAAACAATTATTAATTAAATTGCATATTTTTTCAAGATTAGTTACAGGAATACAATATAAATACCTTTAAAATATATATTTTGAATATAAATTTTTTCTATAAATTAATTTATAAGTATTTAATTAAGTTGAACCTATCTACTTTTAATAATTTTAGTCGTATAAGATGTTTATTAATAATTTAGTTTTTTATATTTGAAAGCTTTGTTTTAGTCTTTAACATTTTTACTTAAAGTTCGATAATATTAAAGGAATTTCTTTAACTTAATATTTTATGCACTAAAAAATTAAAAAAGAGCACAACATAGTTTTATATTCAGGATATACATTTACAATGACTCGTTTTATCATTTTAGTAATAATCAATACTTTTATTTAATTGATTATGTCGTGTTAATGCTATTATCTGGTGTTATTCGTAATATAGCACATATTATATCATTATCATTATTATTATTCATATATATAACATATATGAATATATAAGGAAAAGATTAGTAATAATTTTTACTGAGAATTATTTTCTGTAAAATTCAATCTGAATATCTAATCTTTTATTCGTACTTAAAGTAAATGAGTATTATACAATTTTGTAAAATTTTCCCATTATTGATAACAGTTCAAATCTTTTAAAATAGTTGAGAGAATTATTTTTTAGTCCACAATAAATTACTTACGTCTTAGTTTATGACCGAAAAAGTATTTTTCTTATTGTCCAATATTTAAGTATAAAAATTAATGTGTATTGTATACTGCAATTTTCAGGCATATATATTGTAAACTAAGTAATAAATATCGATTAAAAAAATACCAAATTAAATTTTTTATAAATATAATTTAATGATTTGACCTTCTATTAAATAATCATTTTTGTTTCGCACAAATAGATGAAACATCCATTTATGGTACTCATTTTTTGAAGACCTACCGTTAATTGTAATAGAAAAGTAATGATGATAATGATTTAATAAAAACAAATTTTACATTATAATTGTTTTGTAAAAATGTTTGTATATTTTGTGCATCCATTAACCTGTTGTCTCTCAGTTGTACTATTGCTCGTTTTACCTTAAATAGTAATTCACTGACTGGGTTATCGTCATATAGCGTCCGTGAGAGACTGTAAAATCTGTTTGAACGTAACATTTAATTTTCAATTGTAAGATTTCTGGTTGTAATAATGACTCTGTATGTGTACCTCAGTCGAAGTCAAAATAAACTTGTATTCCCCTATTTAGGCTCTCAAATTTTTGCAAATTTGTAAAGAAAATATAGTTTAAAATATTTTTTTAGTATTTGTTAGATTTAATACAGTTTGAATGTACGATGTTATTCCTTTAAATTTCATATTATATTACTGTACTGTAATATATACCATTTTGAACTTGAAGTTTGATTTACTTAGTCATCAAGTGAAAATTAACAATTATCAAATTCATATTACCTTAGGCTAAACCTTTTTTGTTTTCTCGTTAATTGTACAAATTATTCAGTTTTTTCTTTGTGATTTTGATATTGTTGTTATTTTGATTAATTTCGTGTTCACATGTTTAACACGCATATAAGTCACTTAGTAATAATTTATTACTAATAAGTTTTGTAAACCTCAGTGTAAGAGAGAATTGTAGTTAGTAATTATAAAAAAATTGTATATTAATATGTCTTTTAGCTGTCCTATTTCATAATTATTATAGATTTTAAAATATGTTGTTATCATTTGGTAATTTCTGTTAGTTAATCAGCGCGTAATATTTCATTATCGTCTGATCATTGTTTACTGATTGCTGTGCGTATTGTTTGTTAAATATGCAATATCTAATGAATTTGTTTTTAGATTGTAAGAATTTGTTTTGACCGCGAAACGATTATTTATGTTACATTAACTATGTATAGAACACGCTTTTTAATTTTCAAATGTGATTTGTTATTTGAAGAAATTGAGTCTGACTGTGATTAGAGAGGAACTCATAATGAGAACTTAGTTCGTTGTATTTATTGTTATTTATCGGACATAAATTGAAATAGTTTTCCATATTATCTAATCTTTTATAGGTACACATCATATAGGGAAATATTTTTTTACACATTGTTTTTAGTTATATTAATGTTGATGTTCTCAAAATACGTATTACCTACTAAATGTTGATAATATAATTTTGTCTTATTTAATGATTTTGAGGATTTACATATTATGAAATAGATTGTTGTATCACCTTAGCAAAGTTATAATAATCATAAAAAAGGAGAGTATTTACGGTCTAATCTAATTTTGTAGAACTTACGTTCAATAAACTATTTGTATTTTCTTTAATAAATAAATAATATATATATTTCATTTATTCAAAGAAACTCTTCCAAGACTTCAAATAATAGTATATATCATGAACCACTTAATTATTCGAAAAATAATATTAATAAGTTTTTCACTTTTTTTTTTTTTAGTTTCATGTTTTTCTTGGTTTATTAACCATGAAGTAATTTTTTAATTCATCCTTTATTTTTTTAAATAAAATCAATCTTTTTTCAATTCTTCAATTTCAAACAAATTCATCCTAATTTTTCAAATGATAACACACATAATTAACTAGCTTATTTAAACGATAAGGATTTAATTAAGAAAATGACTGGTCAATAACAGTTTTTTGACCAGTATTTCTGAAGTTAATAATTTAATGTAATGGCTGGATGTGAAGAGTGGTTGTTGCTATTTTTATAAATAGACATTTCCCGACTGTACTCGTCCTTCCACTTAGGCATTACATGTTAATAACTTCCGAAATACTGATCCAAAAGTTGTTATTGACCAGTTATTTTCTTAATTAGATCATTATCTATAAATTAAACTAATTAATTGTATGTTGCCATTTGAAATTTAAATTTGATTTAAGAATTAAAGTTGATATCTTTTGAAAAAATCTTTTTTATACAAAAAATTGTCCATCGTTGGGGAGAACAATTTTTAACGTTTTTTCTATCACATAATTTTCATGATTTAACTAAACTTTTAGCGATAAAATCAAGCTCAATTACAGTTTTTAATTATTATTATATTTAAATTTGAAAAGAATTTTATTACTTATTGATTTAATCATTGATATTGAATTAAATTTTACATGTGACTTTTGTTCAGTAGGCTGTTAAGAAATATAAGTTTAACTTAATTATTAGTGTAAAACATAAATTAAATTATTTTTTTTGTAATTAACTATCTGTTTTTAAAAAACCTTTTTCATGTATTGAAAATTGATTGACTATCGTAGTCACCTGGACCAGCATTGGTTGTTGTAAGTATCTTAATATATAAATCAGCTACTATTCTAATATATTTTTTTATTTTATAATTAACCTCTAATTATTTATTTAACTTAAAATGAATAAGTATTCATTACATTTTAAATTAAATATTGTTACATACTTAATTTTAACTATTAAATAATTTAATATAATTTTGCACGCTTTCAACTGGATGTAATTAATTTATTAGTGCAATACTAATATTAATTTAACTAACAATAATGATTTTGAAGTAAGTAACATAAAAATATGTTTTCATAATATTTTTATTTTTAAACATGTTACTGAATTATGAAATTGATATATTTCTAGGGAGAATTAGAGCAGCAATTGTTACAAGCTAATCCTATATTAGAAGCTTTTGGAAATGCCAAAACTGTTAAAAATGATAATTCCTCTAGATTTGTGAGTTGATATCAACATTTTCTTGTTTAAAATAATATTTGATTAGATTATTTTCTTAGGGTAAATTTATTCGTATTAATTTTGATGCATCTGGTTTTATTGCTGGTGCTAATATTGAAACATACTTATTGGAAAAATCAAGAGCCATACGGCAAGCTAAAGATGAACGTACATTTCATATTTTTTACCAGTTACTTTGTGGTGCATCATCTGAACAAAAAAGTAAAAAACGAAATAAATTATTCGTTATAATTTTACACTAATATCCTTTTTAATTTCTATTTTTAGAGGAATTTATCCTTGAAGATCCTAAGACTTATAGTTTTCTTACAAATGGTAACTTACCTGTTCCTGGTGTTGATGATGCTGCTGAATTTAAAGAAACTGTCAATGCAATGAATATAATGGGAATGAACACTGATGATTATTCAGGTGAGTTCTTAAAATTTCAGGTATACTTGAATAATAATTTTTATAATATCATTGATAATATTATAATAAATAATAATAATACATAATTAATATTATAAGCAATGTAATACTTTAATTTGTTTTTTTAAATAAATTAATATTAAATTTTTATTTTAGCTATTTTTCGAATTGTTAGTGCTGTCATGTTATTTGGAAATATGCAGTTTAAACAAGAGCGTAATAGTGATCAAGCTACATTACCTGATAACACTGTAGCACAAAAAGTAGCTCATTTATTAGGTCTTTCTATTACTGAAATGACAAAGGCTTTCCTTAGACCTCGTATTAAAGTTGGCAGAGACTATGTATTTAAAGCTCAAACTAAAGAACAAGTCGAATTTGCTGTTGAAGCTATTTCCAAAGCCTGCTATGAGCGTATGTTCCGTTGGCTTGTTAACCGTATAAATCGATCTTTAGATAGATCTAAAAGACAAGGTGCTTCATTCATTGGCATATTGGATATGGCTGGATTTGAAATATTTGAAGTAATTTATTATATTATAATATTTATAATATTAAAACCATATCATTAAATATTATGATTTTCAATTTATAGTTAAATTCATTTGAACAATTATGTATCAACTACACAAACGAAAAATTGCAACAACTTTTCAACCATACCATGTTTATTTTGGAACAAGAAGAATATCAAAGAGAAGGTATTGAGTGGAAATTTATTGATTTTGGACTAGATCTTCAACCAACTATTGATTTAATAGACAAAGTATGTATTTAATTATTCAAGTATAATTGATTAAATATATTTTACTTAATAGTCTTTAATATCTTAATTAGCCAATGGGTGTTATGGCTCTACTGGACGAAGAATGTTGGTTTCCAAAAGCTACTGATAAATCTTTTGTTGAAAAATTGATATCTGCTCAAGGTGTTCACCCTAAATTTTTGAAAACTGATTTTAGAGGTGTTGCTGACTTTTCAATTATTCACTATGCTGGAAAAGTTGATTATTCTGCACGCAAGTGGTTGATGAAAAATATGGATCCATTGAATGAAAACATTGTACAGCTTCTTCAATCTTCCCAAGATCCATTTGTTGCCCATATTTGGAAAGATGCCGAGATAGTTGGCATTGCTCATCAAGCACTTAGTGATACACAGTTTGGGGCACGTACTCGAAAAGGAATGTTTCGTACAGTGTCACAATTATATAAAGAACAGTTGAACAAACTAATGATTACTTTGAGAAACACTAATCCTAATTTTGTGAGGTGTATTATTCCAAATCATGAGAAGCGAGCTGGTAAAATTGATGCTCAGTTAGTTTTAGATCAATTACGTTGTAATGGAGTGTTAGAAGGTATAAGGATTTGTAGACAAGGTTTCCCTAACCGAATTCCTTTTCAAGAGTTTAGACAACGTTATGAGTTACTGACTTCAAATGCCATACCCAAAGGCTTTATGGATGGCAAAAAAGCTTGTGAAAAAATGATAAATGCTCTTGAACTTGATTCAAACTTATATCGAGTTGGTCAATCAAAGATTTTCTTTAGAGCTGGTGTTCTTGCTCATTTAGAAGAAGAGCGTGACTTCAAAATTTCTGATCTTATTGTTAATTTCCAAGTAAATTATAATCAAAAATGAAATATTGTATATATTTTTAATTTTCTCTATTTTTGTATGTGTTAGGCGTTTTGTAGAGGCTATCTAGCACGAAGAAATTATCAAAAGCGCTTGCAACAGCTTAATGCTATTCGTATTATTCAGCGTAACTGCTCAGCATATTTAAAATTGAGAAATTGGCAATGGTGGAGATTATATACGAAAGTAAAGCCATTGCTAGAAGTTACTAAACAAGAGGAAGTATTGTCTATTAAGGAAGAAGAACTTAAAGTGGTTAAAGAAAAATTAGAATCTCAACAACGAGGAGTTATTGAACTTGAGAAAAAGTAAAATTTAAATTTATCATTGTTTACTTATTAATTAATATCACTTTTATTTTCAGATATCAAACAGCTATTGATGAGAAGAATGCATTAGCTGAACAACTTCAAGCTGAAGTAGAGTTGTGTGCTGAAGCTGAAGAAATGAGAGCTAGACTTGCTGCTAGAAAATTGGAGTTGGAAGAAATATTACATGATTTAGAAGCTAGAATAGAAGAAGAAGAAGAAAGGTCTAGTTTACTAGGACAAGAGAAAAAAAAATTGCAACTCAATATTAATGTAATTTTTTTTTTTTTTTTAATACTTTATAAGCCCGTAAAAAGCCATAGCGGCATCCTCCAAATGAGAAGGTATCTTAACCATTGATATTAGTCCCTCTCTGGAGAGAAGGATGGCAACACCAATTACTGAACTGATCTTTTGTTCGGTAAAAAAAGCCTCCCATGACTGAGTTTTGAATTTGAGGTAGTACGAATCAAGCACTGTCACGTTACCAACTCGGTAACACTATCCTTAATAATGATATATTATTCAGTATTAAAATTATTCATTTTATTTATTAAAGATTTATTTATGAAAGATAAATGCCCAAAATTTTTTGTACAAAATAGTGAGTATTGTTTTATTTACTATTAAATATTTCCTCATAGGATCTCGAAGAACAGTTAGAAGAAGAAGAAGCTGCTCGACAAAAGCTACAACTGGAACGTGTACAAACTGATGCTAAGTTAAAAAAACTTGAAGAAGATTTAGCATTAGCTGAAGATACTAATGTAAAATTAGCTAAAGAAAAAAAAGTATTGGAAGAAAGAGCCGCAGATTTAGCTCAAACTTTGGCAGAAGAAGAAGAAAAAGCTAAACATTTGACAAAACTCAAAACTAAGCATGAAACAACCATTGCTGAACTTGAAGAACGCTTGTTGAAAGATAACCAACAACGTCAAGAAATGGATCGAACAAAGAGAAAAGTTGAAACAGAGGTAAGTTTCATATTCATTTATACACATATTAAAACTATTAAAAATTGCGGAGTTGGCAATTTTATTATTTCAATATTTTAACTTTTTAGGTAAATGACTTAAAAGAACAATTAAATGAAAAGAAAGCTCAAGTTGAAGACCTACAATTACAACTTGGAAAACGAGAAGAAGAATTAACACAAGCCTTTATGAGAATAGATGAAGAAGCTGCTAGTATAATACTTAAAAATATATTAAATTTTCAAATTTGTATATTATATATTTTTTTTATTCAGGTAAAGCTCAATCCCAAAAGTCTCTAAGAGAACTAGAATCTCAACTTGGCGAGCTTCAAGAAGATCTTGAAGCAGAACGTACTGCTAGAAGTAAAGCTGAAAAACAAAAACGTGATCTAAATGAAGAGCTTGAAGCTTTGAAACATGAACTCTTAGATTCATTAGATATAACTGCTGCTCAACATGAACTTAGAGCTAAACGAGAACAAGTTAATTAAATCAATCTGTTTTATTTAATTCAATATATACCCTTATAAGTTTAAATAATTCATAAATAATTGATTTTTATTAGGAACTAGCTACATTGAAAAAATCTTTAGAGGAAGATACTCAGTCACATGAAATTATCATTACTGAAATGAGGCACAAACACAGTCAAGAAATATCAGTTATCAATGAGCAGATAGAATCTTTAAAAAAAGTACTTTATTATTTATATAAAGATTAATATATTTAAAGGTTAAAATTATAAATTTCCACTTTTTATTGTTTTTAGGCTAAAAGTCAATTGGAAAAATCCAAGCAAACCCTTGAAGCAGAAAATGCTGATCTAGCTGCTGAACTTAAAACTTCTGCATCCTCAAAATCTGAACTAGAAAGGAAACGGAAAATTGTTGAAACTCAACTCAGTATGTATAGTAGTGATGAATTCTTAATGTTAAGACATTTTATTTTAAAAGGTTTATGAAGCTAATAAAAAGAAATTTAACTAGGTGAAACACAGAGTAAACTTGTAGAGTCTGAAAGATCAAAGAATGAATTTCTTGATAGATTATCAAAACTTAGTAATGAATCTGAATCTATAGTTAATCAATTAGAAGCTGCAGAACTCAAAGCGTCAGCTGCAGAAAAAGCTGCTGGTACTATGGAAACACAACTACAGGAAACTCAAGTATGAGATTTCAATAAGTATTGAATAAAAGCTCAATTTATTATTACCACTGCTATTTACTTCATATAGGCACTTCTTGAGGAGGAAACTAAATTAAAACTTTCATTGAATTCTAAACTTAAACAAATTGAAAGTGAAAAAGAAGCCTTACAAGAACAATTAGAAGAAGAAGAAGAATCTAAAAAAACTATGGAGAAACAGATAGTAGCTCTTAACTTACAAATATCTGAAAGTCGTAAAAGAATGGAAGACGAAGCTGAGCAAATGGCTGCCATGGAAGCTTCATACAAAAAATCTATCAAGGTTTAGTGCATATCATTTTAATAAAGATATTAAAAAAATAACATTAGTTAGATATTAAAAGTCAAATTGTAAAAATTTTATATAAAATTTTGTTTTGTGATAGGACACAGAATTGTTGCAACGTCAAATTGAAGAGCTGCAAGCCAACAATGATAAATTAGACAGATCAAAAAAGAAATTACAATCTGAATTAGATGACATTAATATTGATCTTGAAGCTCAGCGATCTAAAGTGATTGAATTGGAAAAAAAACAAAGAATATTTGATAAAACTCTTGCTGAGGAAAAGGTGATGAATAAAAATGTATCATATTATTAAAAACTACATGATTATTGACTTATGAGGTCAATTTTTTAAAGAGGACAAGTTGCTAAAACTTCTTAAAATAAATAATTTTGAATAATGTGAGTACTTAGCTACTAAGCTGAACACTTCAAAATTGGCAATTTTTATCAAAAATTATATTATTTTTAATCTAATAATAATTCATATAAATTACAAGAAAAGGTTTTCTTTTTTTATCTTATAAGTAAATTGTATTCCCTTTAATTTGATAAAGATTTAAAGAAGCCATGTTTTTTAGAATATTGAAAATATATAAAAATAGAAATAGAATTAATAATTGAAATGAACAAAAAAATTTACTTGGTGGTTATTTCATCAATTCTTAGTCTTTATCATTTCCTGATTCTCTATCTCAACTTTTTTGGGACATCTTTACAATGATTTGACATCATTTTTACACTAGCTGTTGACCTAACATTATGGTTAAGGAACGAGTAAATTGTAAGGTGTGTGTGTGTCACTGTAAAAGTTAACTTCTCAGCAATGTATTGAAGCTAAAATAAAAGTTCAAATATTGTATTGATTCTAACACTATCAAAATATTAATAGTAAAATGCATCTAAAATAATAACCTTCAGTTATGGGGTTAATGTGGAAATTGTAAATGAATGGGACAATTATAAATTTATTATTCCTTTTAGAATATTCAGTAGACATTACTTAAGATAAGACAATTCCTATCTTTAAGTATATAGTTATCTTAAGTATAAATAAAAATTTAATATTTTAGGCAGTGTCAGAGCAAATGGTTATTGAACGTGATGCTGCTGAACGTGAAGCTCGTGAAAAAGAAACTCGTGTACTATCACTTACAAGAGAATTAGATGAGTTAATGGTAAAAGTAGAAGAACTTGAAAGAGGCAAGCGAACTTTACAAAATGAATTAGATGAACTTATAAATAATCAAGGAACTGCTGATAAAAATGTGAGACATTAATTAATGAGACATGGCATAATTAAATTGAATTGTATAACAAAATTTAAAAAAATTTAGGTACATGAATTAGAAAAAGCTAAGAGGATATTGGAATCTCAATTAGCCGAGATACGCATTCAAAATGAAGATTTAGAAGATGAGCTCCAAATAACTGAAGATGCTAAGCTAAGACTAGAAGTAAACATGCAAGCATTGAGAGCTCAATTTGAAAGAGATCTTGCGGTATTTGTCAATTTTTTTAAAATTAAATTGCAGTATAAAAGTAATTAAAATGGATTTTTTTAATAAACAGGCCAAAGAAGAACAAAGTGAAGAAAAACGTAGAGGTCTTCTTAAACAAATTCGTGATATCGAAGCTGAGTTAGAAGACGAACGCAAACAAAGAGCTTCTGCAGTTGCAGGTCGTAAAAAAATTGAAGCTGACTATAAAGATTTGGAACAGCAATTGGATATGCACAATAAACTTAAAGAAGATGCTCTTAAACAGTTAAAAAAATTGCAAGTCCAATTAAAAGATGCTACACGCGATGCTGAAGAAGCTCGAGCATCTCGTGATGAATTATCAGCTACAACTAAAGAAACTGAACGTAAATTAAAATCTGTTGAAGCTGAATTACTTTTATTAACTGAAGAACTATCTGCTTCTGAAAGAGCAAGACGTGTGGCTGAAAGTGAACGTGATGATTTAATGGAAGAAATGAATAGCAACTCGAACAAAGGGTATTATGTAACATTTTTAAAGTTTTCATTTTAATTCATAGAAATACTATCTTAATTTATACAGTATATATAAGAAATAATTTATGATTTTTAAAAATATTATATTTTATTTAAAAATATTCTATTTTTAGCTTAATAGCATGGGTTCATGTGTTTAATCAATTGACAAATTGATCTAATTGAATTCAAATTGAAGAACTAAAATATTTCTTTAATTTATATTTGAATTTTTATATTTAATAGTACATTGATGGTTGATGAAAAACGTCGTTTAGAAGCTAGAATTTCTGCATTAGAAGAAGAATTAGAAGAAGAGCAAACTAACTCTGAAGCATTAAATGAGCGTAGTAGGAAAGCTATGATCCAAATTGAACAACTAAATTCTGGTAACTACATAAAAATCTGTTATTTAATTTAATGAATAGTAAAATTTCATTTAAAATTTTTATTAATCAATTGTAAATTTTACAACAACATAGGCGTTAAGTCTATTTTTCCTTTTTTTCCTCGCCTTGATCCCAAATACTTAGGTTTGACCATCCTTATCCCAAACTTTTACTTGATACGATCTCCCATACATTAGCTGTCCTCATATTGCATTTAATAATATCCCTCCATCTCTTTTTGGTTTTCTTTACAGCATCCTGATTCCTTTTTTCTCATAATATGACTAAATCATCTAAGTCTATTTTCTTTCATATTATCCACAATTGACGTTACACCTATACTCCCTTTTATATGTTCCTTATCCTATCTTCACTAGTCTTCACTATATCACTCACCTACCTAATCATTCTCATCATTGCTACACTCATTCTCAGCTCTATTCTTGTCAACCGCCAAACACTGAACCATATATAAACCAGATGTGGTCTCGCTGCAGTATTTTAAAACCTATCTATCAGTTTCATTGAATGTATCACATATCATACCAGACTCTTTACTCCACATCACCCACCCACACATAATCTTGTGTTCTTACATCCTCGTCCATACTACCATTCTTTTGCACAACTGATCTTAAATACTTAAAACTTTACACCTCTCCTATCATACCCTTGCTGGTTGTCATTGATCTCCTCATTTCACTTATTCATGTTTAAGTTTTGTCAAACTCGTAATCCATATACTCTGTATTACTCCTACTTATTCGTAATCCTATTTAAGCCAACACCTCCTAATATTTCCCATACTTCTACTGCCACTTTATTTGATCCTATTGCTTTATTTTTTTCATTGATGCTAAAGCTCTCCATACCTCTTTCATACTAATAAAATTTACCAGTTCCTCGTTCCACAAGATATCATCCAATGTCTCTTTTGGATACTCCACATTCAGTAATTTTTCAAAATACTATTTCTACTTATTTTCACATCATCATCACTCGATAATACTCTATTATCAACACTTTTTATACACCTTACATAATGAAAATCCTTAGACCTTTTTTCTCTTACTTTCACAAGTCTGTAAACTTCTTTCTCGCCTTCCATGTTCCTATCCTATCATACCTCTTAAACTTCGCCTTACTTTCTGCACAATTGGCATCTTTGCACAAGCGTTTATACTCCATACAATCTTCTCTCCTATTGCTCTTCTTCCACGTTTTTATATATTTACTTTCTATGATTTTTTGAACGTCCTCATCCCACCACCGGGTTTCTTTGATTCCTGGCATTCTACTACTATTTTTATCAAGAGTGTCCTTTGCAGTATTCTTTACACAACTAACAAATCTGTTCCACTCATCATTGACGTCTCTCTTGACATTCCACGCTGTCCTCTTTTACTGTCTTTAGAAACTCTTTTTCATTTTCCCTTCAATTTCCACCACTTGATCCACGATTCTCCTCCTGTGTTCTTTCTGTTTTTGTATACTCTCTTCCCATTACACCACAACTCCATTACCATTCGTCTATGTTGTGTAGTTTACTCTTGCCTAAGATAACTTACAATCTTTTACTCAATTTACATTCACTCTTACACATAAAATAAACAATCTGTGATCTATTACTACCTCTCTTTTATAAGTCATATAATGTTCTTCTTTTTTTCTAAAATAAATATTAATCACAGCAAGATCAAGAACATTGTCATTAAGTGTTAAAAATTAATTTTAGTTGATTTATCTTTAAGAAATTAATCATCTATTATTATTAATATAAATATAATATATATATTTATACATAGTATTATTTTAAATAAATTTAGATTTAGCTAATGAACGTACCTCAAGTCAAAAATTGGAAACAACTAGAATGTTATTGGAAAGACAAAACAAAGAGTTAAAAACTAAATTAACTGAAATAGAAACTAATCAGCGTGTTAAAACTAAAGCAGCAATTTCTAATTTGGAATCCAAAGTTGTCAATCTTGAAGAACAGTTAGAATCTGAAGCCAAGTATTTATTTTTTTATCCATTTTAATTTCTTAGGCATACAATTAATTTTATGTTTGCTATATTGTTCTTTTTTTTTAAAGGGAACGTCAGTTACAACAAAAAGCTAACCGTAAACTTGAAAAGAAAATGAAAGAAATTGTTATGCAACTAGAAGATGAAAGAAGAACCGTTGACCAATATAAAGAACAAGTAGAAAAGGTTAGTATGCATTTCAGTTTGATATTTCTAAAATATGATAAAAGTTAAAAAAAAATTGTTTATAGAGTAATACCAGAGTAAAGGCTCTGAAAAGGCAAATTGAAGAAGCTGAAGAAGAAATAAGTAGAGAAAAGCATGCCAAACGTAAGATTCAAAGAGATTTGGATGAGTTATTAGAATCAAATGAATCCATTTCTCGAGAAAATAATAATCTAAGAAGTAAACTCAGGTAATTATTGCAGTAAATACAAATATGCATAAATACATAGTGAAATTATTATAATTTCAGACGTACTGGTGTGACCACTTCTCGAATAGGTACATCAGGCAGTAAAAGAGGGTCAACAATTGATGATTTGTCAACCGTACATGGCAGCTCATTAGATGATTCATTAGAATCAAATAATGGATCTAATGATACAAATTCTTTAGGTTTGTACACCAAATTTAATCAAAATAAATTTTTAAGTATCCCTAAATAAAAATTATAGTTAGATAATGTTATTATCTGTTTGAAATTATATTAAAATATTTAGGTACAGAAGATATGTGGTCTCGATAAATTTCATTCCATCACAATTAAAATGGTATGTAGGGTATGCATTTGAACAACATTTGGCTTCAGGAAAAATTTCATTATGAACTTTTGGTTTTTTTCTTTTATTTTTTGGTTATTTATATATATTTAAACAAATGATTGACTTTAATTACCAAAACTAATATTTAATAATGAAAAATCAAAATTATTTTACAAAAATTTAAAGTAAACCTTGGTAAAAGTGTAATTTATTAATTATGGTGATTTAACTTAATTTGTATACTATCTTTAATTTTTTTCTAGATTGATTTTATGATTTATCAATTTATGACAACTTCTCATTGAAATTTTGACAACCAATTCTTCTATATGTATATTTTTAACATTTAATAAGATAAAATAAAACTTTATACTCTTTTATTAAAATTTTTTTTTATTTTTATTAATAATTATTTAAGATTTTTTAATTTTTTTTATAAGCTATTACCCGATGATGACATAAGTTAAAACTAGTAGTAAATTATAGAATTTTTATATACTCAAGGCATAGTTGTTAATCATTTTTTATAATTATTATTATTATTAAAAAAAAAAAAAAAAAAATTAACTAATAAAACATGGCTGGGTGAGTTATTACATTTAAAATGTATATAAGAAATATTCAACGCAATGTTCTTAATTTACCACAACAGCACCTAGTATATTGGTGACATTGTTAAAAATTTAAATAATAATAATTTTTTTTATAAAATGAATAAAAAAAAAAAGTTAAAATTGTAATTGTTATTCATTAATTGAATCAATCTACATTATAGATGATTCAAGTTAAGTTTGAACAAACTTTCACTTTTGTTAAACATTAAAAATTAGTAGTTAACACTTAACTATACTGCTGTGCTAAGCAAAAACAGGATAACTCCAAAATTAAAAAAAAAATTTTTTTTTTATTTCTATAGGTAAATTTAGTGGTTTTACACCAATTTTTGATGTAAAAATAGTATATTTTTTATTAAAATCCATCTAAAATTGAAATATAAAATAAGAAAATATACGGTAAGTTCAATATATTTGATGTTTTGTAAGCGAAAACACGGTAAATCCAAATACTAAGCAAAAACTTGGTATATCACATAAAAAATAATGGAGTTACGGTCTTTTGAATTATGTTCATACATTGGGAAAAAAGGGTATCTTGATTTACTGTTAAAAATGTTTTTTTGTGTTCCTGAAAAATCATGTTGACTGGAGATATCCTGTTTTCGCTTAGCACGGCAGTATAGTAGAATATAAGTTAATGAAAAACTTAATAAATACCAAAAATTCGTTCTTAGTATTGTACTTATTAAAATTAAATTACTTCAAGATTTAAATAATTTTTGTAATAACCCAATCAATAATGACATATTCAACCAAACAAATTCTTTTGAACAAAAACTAATTTAAGTAAAAAATGTATTGTTTTAATTGATGTAGTAAAAACCAAAGTAAGCTTATTAGATTTAGTAATAAAACTATTTCTGGGGTTAGTTAAAAATTCAATTGTTAATAACTAGTATTGTTTTTTCATTTTTAAGCGGGTGCACCATTATACTTATAATGTAATGTTTTTAAACAAAAATATTTTTTTCTCAATGCTTTATTTATTCCATTGAATTATAATCTACATGTATTTTTATTCTTTTAAAGTACTTTTTTTTTTTTGAGATTATTGAGTAAAAAAAATCATGAAGTAAATAAAAACTTGTTTTCAATTTAGAAAAAGTTTTCTTTACACAATTAAAATAGACTTGCATATTTTATAAAGTACACCCGCTCAAAGATTAATTTACTAATTCAAATCTATTTTGTATACATTATAATTTAATATAAATTATTGCTGAAAACTTAATACTATTATTTATTAGTTAATATCTACAATCCAAACCTTATATTTTTTTATTAGCTAATTTAACAAATCAGTAGATATTGAATGTATAAACACGTATTTAAAAATTAATGTTTCTAATTATGGATATAGGTGATGATTTTAACTTAAGCTAAAAATAATAATTATTTTTATTTTTAGGTCCATGAAGAACAAGCAGTTTCCTGAGTGATACATAGCTCAAACAAATACCGAATTTTTTTTATAAATTTTTAATTATTATTACTTTTTTTAACTTAAAACTATTTTTGGTTATCTAAAAATAATTCGTACTTAATTAAAAAAAAAATAGTAATTTTTAACTAAAAATTTTAATGATCACCAACTATGTGACTTTAAATTAAAAAATATAAACATTTTACGTCAACTTTTAAATGTTAAATGTATGATGAAAGATTATCTTTGTAAACTTTGATGTAGTTCAGTTATTTATTATTATTATTTATTATAATTATTATTCTTTTATGTATTTTTATTTTTTTGTTTGTACAAAATAATATTATTCATCTAACAATAATTACTATGTAGTAAAAAATATTAATTATTAATCTAATTTTTATTAACAATAAAAAATATTAATGCCATTTATAATTATTTATTTATTATAACCAGAATATACAAATACTTAGTTACTTAATTAAATAAAAAAATACATGAATTACACATTCCTTTTTTTGTTTGTTACTTTTGTTTACTTAAATATTAATAATATATTATTTGATTGGACAAACATAAATAAAACATGCTAACTTTTTATCTTTATTTTAATTATTATGTAAATCTCAAGGTTTGTTATATGAAAACTACATTATTATATATACTAATAGTGAAATATTTTTTTATACTTAATGTTTATTATTATTATACTTATATATATTAACATGAAAATGCATTTACCATGATTATTTTAATGTGGAAGCTTTTTTTATAGTTAAGTAATATTTTGATTAATCATTAAAAATAAAGTTAAAAAGAATTGTGTATTTTTTCATACTCTTTTAATGTTGGAGTGATAACTGACTTATCAAATCTTGTTGTTCAGACTCTATCTTTTGTAATGATCTATATTCTGTTTTATACCTTTCCAAATCAAACGTATATTGCTCAATTTCTGTCTGAAATTTAATTTTTCTTATATTTGTTGTTCCATATTAAATAACTTAGTTTAATTTTGTGACCTGTAATATTGACTGCAAGTCTTCAGTTTTGTTTGTCAATGATGATAGTTGATTTGACAAAATTATAGCCTCTTGTTTTTCCTGATTCACCTGTTGAGCCAGATTTTCCATAATAGAAATATATTCATTTATACAATCGCTGTACCTTTCAGTATCTAATACGTATTAATACAAAATTTTACTTTAAAGTTAATATCCATTATAAATTTATATAACAAAATATGAGCTGTACCAAAAATGAGTATTTCGTGGAGATAGGGATTATTGATGTAAATGTTATAGCATATTTTAATAGCGAATTAAAGAACATTTTTCAGAGAACGGACCCGAATTATTTGGTGAAGTAGCTAAATTATTAAACGGCATTTTTTTTTAAAGTAAGGTTATATTCAACTTTTCCCACTTTTAAGTGTATTTATATTTTCTAAATTTTTGGAGAGCTAATTGTAGCTTGGAGAAGCTAAACCATCCAGTTCTCAGCTAGTCACATCATTGTCTATAATATTTATACTCCTTACATTATTTTGCAAGTATTTATTACAGCCAACGAGGAGGTTGTCTCTTTCTCTAAATTATTTAAAATTAAATTCTCAAATTGAATAAAAGTGAGGGATTTTATAAATAAAATAGCGTGCTCCTGAGATTTTGGCATACCAAAATCGTTTTTTTATACAATAAAGTACTTATGATTACCTTTTAAAAAATTGACAGATAGTTCTTTAAGATTTGACATTTTATCTGCTATTATAGGTTCCATAACTCTAGCCTTACCCATATCGTCTACACAAACATCGGATACTGGAGTACTATCCATAGTTATTAATTATCGAATAAAACGTCTATACTTAAAAAATCATATTCGCTTCAATAATTAAAAATTATTTATAAAGTTTAAATTCAAGTTAAACAATTCTAAATAATAATTTTATATTTATAACAATTGATACAAGTATCCTTAATAGGCAACTTTATAAATTGTGGGATCTGCACAATGAGTAGGTAGACTACTTTAATTACAAAATGATCCACCAATATTTAGTGTTTGTGTTATTAATTTTAATCATATACATTAATTATCTGTTTAGAGAAAACCAAAATTTTTTTGCGGTGGTGCTACTTAATTATACAAGAGTATCATAGCAACACAATAACTTTTGGTTATTGTAAGTTTATATATTATACAACGTCCTATTATAATTCTCATTTCTTCCATGAAAATTAATGATGCAACAAAATAAATATTTGTAGAGGTATTGTATTTTTTTTTTCACAGAATAACCGAGTATTAATTTTAATTTTTATCATTGACGTCTTATTTTGATAAAACAATAGATATTTTATACGTTTTCAAAATATTTTAAAATTTCGTGCTCAAAATAGAACAGTGTGTATTGATAATTTAACTTTAACATTGTTAAATATATTCTAACCATCTATTTAATTCAAACGATTTTTAAAATGCCCCGAGGTAAGTATTAAAAGTTTTGGTTATTAGTCTCTTTTATCTAGCAAATAGTTTAATTTTATTTAGGTAAGTGGACTAATCACAAAGGCCGAAGTCGTAGGTTTACAAATCCTGATGAACTAGAAGAACAAAGAAAACGTGATGAACAAGAACGGAAATGGAGAAGTAATAGGGGTGAAGAGTCCTCTAGTGACGATGAGGAAGAAAAACCTGCAACTAAAGAGGATAAAAGTAATAGTGAGGATGAGACGGAGACTGAATCGGATGAAGATTCTGATGATGTATATAAAATATTGTTATCATATTTGTAAAAATATGTTTTTATTATTTGGGTAATTTTTCTTTTAGAAAAAAAAAGGTGTTGCTGGACTTATACAGATTGAAAATCCTAATAGAAAACAATTGAAAGCTAAGAAATTAGCTACTCTCAATGAAACATTAGAAACTGCTGAGCCAGCACAGTTATCTAGACGAGAGAGGTTAGTAATTCTTGTATTTTCAAAATATTAATTATAATAAAAATTACATTTTGCAACTATTATATTAGAGAAGAATTAGAAAAACAACGTAAAAAATTACATTATCAAAAATTACAAGCAGAAGGTAAAACTGAAGAGGCAAGAGCAGATTTAGCTAGATTAGCAATCATTAAACAACAACGAGCTGAAGCAGCTAAAAAACGTGAAGAAGAAAAAAAAGGTATTGTTTTGTTGAAATATTTTGCTTATAGATTTTGTTGTAACTTAAGTAATTTCTATTTATTTAACTAAGGTCTGTATTAAAATATTAAAATTATAAAAAGTCATTTTAACACATTTTAATATTTTATTTTATTAATTATTTCATATATTAAATAATCTATTAGTAGAAAATTTGGAACTAATTTTATAATTATTTATTTTGACAGAAAAAGAAATGGCTAAACTACAAAAATCAGCTGAAACTCAAAAAGCTCTTGGAAAACGGTGAAACTATTATTGACTGATATATGTAATATATATATATGAGTACTGTTATGTTCAAAGATCAGTTATTAAGTATCCGTTTTATAATATCTTATATGTAATATAATACATTTACCAAGTTAATCGAATTTTTTTTTCATTTGGTACATTATATGGTTAATATTTGTTAACATCCTTATTTTTTTATTGTAATATGTTTAGTACATATATTGCCATAAAACTTTTCTAAGTATTTTTTAATTTTAATACAGGTAAAATGAAAAGAAAAAAGTCAGCTGTTTATAAAATTTAAGTGAATTCTGTAGGTAATTTCAATGCTGATTCCAAAAACTATCTTTTTGTTCTATCATATTTACAATTTAGGATATTTAATAATTAGACATAAAGTGTAAACTACACAATAAAAACTTTTAAAAATTAATTCTTCATTAAATTTGTTTTAATTGACTATTGTGTCAAATTTAACCTATTGTTTACAGATTATGAATTTTTTTTGATGAGCTTTAGCTACATGGCTAATAGCTCACTTTAAACAAACGATTATTATAAAAATTCCTTACACTATTACTTATGATCAAGTTAAATTTTTTTGAAAAAAGTGATTATATTGGTGTTCTATTCTTCTCCCATTGCTTTAATATTGGACAGGTAGGTGTTTCAAGATGGATTTATAGATAATTTAAATTCTTTGTGTAATGTTCATTGTTGGAGTCCACTAATTAATATTTCATTTAACTTGTCTTAGTTTATATCATGTTAGATTTTGATCCCACTTAGTTAACCATGTATGTTGTGTTTTGTGGTTGATTTCTTTAATTAATTCACTAGAAGTGGTATCTGAGATATGGTGGTATGCCTGGCAGTTTTGTCAACTTCTTCATTACCTTTTATCCTTATGTAAGAGAGTTAACCTAAATTCAATTTTTTTTAGAGTTTGAGATGATTGATAGGTGTTTTGTACTAGTGTTAGTTGGAGTTCTTGTCTTAAAGTGAGCAGAGATCGCTGAGGAAGTCCCTAATTATTATAATATTATCATTAGTTATAGTGTTAGTGTGTCATAATCTATTGGAAGAGTACAAGGTAGTAGTCCATTTCTGTATATTAATCATCAAATACTTCAAAATTAATTATGAAAAAAATTTTAATAGATAATATTTTCATTTTATCTTCTATTTCAATTAAATACTTATAATTGATAAAAAAAAAAAAGTAGTATATACATTCCTTTTTATAACATAACATTTATTAAAATTTTTTGTATTCCTGTATTAAAATCTAATTTAAGATAAAATAAAAGTACATAAGAATTTGTTTATTTTATTTCTGTTTCAAGTGAAAATATATTTTATATATACTAAGATAAATTTAATTAAACATAATTTTGAGTGTCAAAAGTTACATAAAATCACGTTTTGATTGGTATAATTTAATTTGTTAATAGAATTTATGTCTGTAACACTATTTTATATGAAATTTTGTATAGTTTTTTTGATTAATAGCATAAAAATAACAGTTTCTAATCACACAATAACAAAAAAAAAGAAATATATATAAGTTTTGAAAGTATCATAAAACTTTTTATTAAAAGGTTGTAAATTTTCATCTGCGAGCTTAATTAAAAAAATTAATTAGTAAAAAGTTTAGCTTTATTTTTTATAAAACCACCATCAAATTCACCTTATAAAATAAGTTTAACTTGAAAAATTGATCAGAAATTTTGTAAAAGAAAAACATTCTATAACATAAAAAAAATTTTCAAGTCATTTGAAAAAAAGATTTGTTACTATATTTAATTATTTTTTATAAGTCAAATTTCAATGTTTTAAAAATTAGTACACGTGTAGAAAACTGACAAAATTAAATAATTTTAAAGGGCAATTTAAATTCAGCGAAAAATGGTTTAGAATTATATATTTTCATAAGTATATAAAAAAAGTTTAATTTGGCTAACAAGTGTAAGAAAACAAGAATAAACTTTAATATTAGTAATATAAAATTATTTTTCATTGAATGGATTTCATTACTTGATACTACTGCCATTGGGTTATCGAATTAAACTATAAAGTCAATGTAAAAATAATGGATTACTACCATTTTATCCCTGTAGTCTTCGTTAGTAAACAGTATTAAGATGAGAAAGTTGTATTTTTTAGGATAGTAATAAATTTATTAGTCTTGAAACAACATATACATTAACACTATTGCCCAAGAGTTGATAAGCTTTTTTGTCGCTAACTGGAAAACTTGAAATAGGAAAACACATAAACTTAGCAACTTCAGATGGTGTAAAAAATCTTAATTTCAAACTTTTTAATGTTTCTAAATCACAGTTGTCGTTTTTGATAATTTTTTGAATTTTTTCATGTTCTAAATTAGAAAAAATTGAACCTGTACCATGAACGTAAGTGCTGTAGGACCGAGTAAAACAGCATGATCTATCACTATCTTTTGAAACTACATCTAATACTTTATGATACTTCAATAGTATATTATCATTTAATAAATATTTTTCAAGATTTACTCCAGATTCACATAGAACATCTGACACTTTTTTAATAGACTTATATAAATTCGTATCCCAAGTGTTTTCACAAACCTATTTAAAATGAATAAAAAAATAAAAATTCTTAAAAACATATATTATATGGTTATAAAAATTAACATTCTTAATCACTTACTATTTCATTACTAGTAATAACAAAATCCATTGGTTCTTTTTTAGCCAACAAATAGTATCTTGTTCTGGAATTACAAATGCCAAAATGTGTAGGACTGAGTATAAATTCCCTATAATTGAAACCACATTGCTTTAAAGAATTTACAAGTTCACCTCTAGTAATAGAACATTCAAATCCTTTTACATTTTCAACTAATATATATTTGAGAGATTTTAATTGTGGAATAAGATTTTTGATAATATGTAAAAAAGGCTTTGTTCTTTCATCATTAATATCTTTAACTAGACCATTCCTGTAGATATAACAATAATTTATCTATGATATTTTATTAGTGCTACTGTCAAACTGATAAATATTATAGCATGCCTAGTAAATGGTTGACATGGTGGACTCATTAACAAGATATCGGCATTATAAGTATTGATTTGTTCAGGCTTAATTTTCAATATATTCAGTTCTTTATGGTTGGTTAAAGGAAAGAAATGTCTGTAAACATTATTAGCTACAGGATTTATGTCAACTGATAATACAACTTCAATATTTTTGCCTAAATCACATTCTGGAATAACAAACAAAACAATAATCATATGTATTTATCATTATTCTCGGACTTTACCTTTCAACGCAAAATGCATACCACCAATTCCACTAAATAACTCTATAGCTCTCATTGTAATTTAATAATCTAAATTTAAAAAATCGCAACTTATAAGTAATTGGTTTAATGAAAACATAGAACAAAATACTGAAGTACAAAACGATCTACAAAAACCTTATCTACAAATTAGATAAAGTTTTATCTAACTTGTAATATTACCACGAATTATGATAAAATTGACTTGACAAGACGTGGTTGACGGAAGAGGAGTGCGATCCGGTTTTGCTATTGAAATTCCGTAGTAAGAAGAATATTAGGCCAACAATGAGCTCTAGTGACGAACATGATTTCAGAAAACAAATTTAAAAAAACGGTAGCACAGTAGGTTCGCGGCATAGTATGGACGTGGCATAGTTGGGACAAGTATAGATGATATCTGACAGTGATTAAAATCACTATCATAAGAAACACTTCAATGCAATTCTGTAGATAGTGTTTAATTTTAAGAAATTGGTAGATTATTTCAAAAGCAACCCCATAACTTTTATTCCCTTAATTTTATCCCGATTTATAATTATAATATATGAATAGATAATAATTATAGTAATTAAATTTAGTATGAAATTGATATTCAATAATATTGTAATTTTTACAGAGATATTATAAAAATAAAAAGGAGTTTATATTCATATACATTTAACGCGTATAAAAATTTAAAGGGATTGATGCAATACTTTTTAATAAAAAAATTTTGTTACTTATGAATAAATACACTAGACTACAAGGAACTTTCATCGGAAACAAAAATATACTTTTCTAAATCAACTTTTGCGATGTTTTCAAATGTGCAAATAAACTTTTTCTATTACTTCTAAGTTTTAATATTATAACTCATTATTAAAAAACCCAGCACAGTGGAGTCGCGGCATAGTGGGGACGTTGCATAGTTGGGTCCAGTATAGATTTAATCTGACAGTGATTAAAATCACTATCATAAGAAACGCTTCGATGCAAATCAGTAGATAGTGTTTAATTCTAAGAAATTGGTGGATAATTACAAAAGCT